CAATTCCTTGGAAGTTAAGCTATAAAAGAGCCAGAGAAACTTGTGATGGAGAGCTACTCACATGGAACAGATAACTCTCTAAGGCTGTGGACCAGGAACCTACATCAATTTTTCCAGCCCTTGTCCATAATCAGGGGACTCTCATGAGAGATGGAAGACGACAGTAAGGAAGTAACTAGGTGCTCACAGATGGTCGTAGAACGGAAGAAAAAGTGCAGCAATCCAAGCAAGATGACAGCAGCATGGGGCCCTCTGTGGGAACACTGTTTCCATACTACATTGCTCTCCGGTGCCCAGATACCTCCTGATTCCCACAGTGCTTTTGCACTTCAACTCACCAGCACACAGTAGAACAGACCCAGGGCTGCTCATGCCCCAGGACCGAATTCCCATTGGGAAGCAGTGTAGTGAGCCACAACCTCACCCCAGCAGACCACAGTGCTGTGGTGTGGGAGGGCATTCAATGCAGGAGCCAGCTACACCACTTCATGCCAACTCAGGGCTCCCCTGCACTCTCATCTGGCCGGCTGCTGGTGCAAAATAGCCCAGAGGGGAAGTTGTGGAGCATGGTGTTTTGTATTTCGGAGGCAGGGCACTGTACTCATTTTCCTAATTTTCTCAAGTTCTTGTTTAGTCCTAGATTTGAAGGCCAGAAGGGTCCACTGTCACGTAATCTGACCACCTATCATCTCTCATCCCTCTTACCTCCCCAACAATAGAGACTGTGCCCTACTGCATTGCCACTGCCTTCATCTCATGCCATTGTGGACACCTGTGTAAGCCCCAGGCATCACCCCTGAGCCTCTGCAGTGGGAACATCAGTAAAAGCTCAGGAGTGATGCTCACAGGGAGAACAGAGAACGTACCCAATGTGTACCCCCAGATGTCAGGATGTAGGCAAGTGCAAACACAGTTACCACCGGAAATCTGGCCTTTATAACCTGTTAATGCATTCTGCCAGCTCGGACCTCACAGCCTCATGTAAGTGGATGTCTTACATGGACGGGGTGAGTTTTCCTGTGGCCTAGAACTGTTCAGTTTTGCTGAGGTCCCGCTAGCTCTTGGAAGGTATGCTCCCTCAAAGTCATGGCCAAGGAAGGGTCAGCCAAACAAACAGAGCTGGACCCAACATACAGGGTCATCTTGCAAACATTTCAACTGAGTTGTGGCTTTGCAAAGCCTTCGATTTGCAGCAGCTGGATTTGGGGAATTAATGCTCACGGGAGGCTGGGGGGGTATATTAAATATCCCTGCCTCTCCATTGCCAACACCCACCAACAAATACCAATTATTCTAGCTCATGAGTCCAGCCTCCCTCTTCCCCCCACCCAAACCCTAAATTTGGCTTAAAGATTGTGAGATTGACAAAAAGATGTGGGTTCTTTTCATTTGCCAGCTGGCTTTGGCACCTGTAGTGATCACATTTTCAAGATTTCCCCCTTGGGCTGAGAAACAGAAACACTAAGTGCCCAACTGTTTCATTTCAGTGAAGAGGTAAACAGATTCTCATATGATCATCTGACTCTAGGAGCTGGGGTTTTAGGCGCCTCCAATATTGCTCGGGCCACAATGCAAGGCAGAACACTGGGAAACTCTTTAGAAGTAGGCCTAACAAGCTGGTGCTAAGCAAGGGACTCCTAGATGGCACTGTGTTGGCATATGCCCAATGCTGGGACTCATCAGCAACATCTGCCATTCGTGCAAAGTTGAGCCGAAGGTGGGGTGGGCTTTACTGGGTGCATGACTCTCTGCAGTCACATGCCATCTAGCACAGCAGGCTGAATCCAACTCAGGCTGAATCCAATGCACTTGCCATCAGAAGTCACTATCAAGATAGTCCAGGTTCCAGAACACAGCACAAGGTCACTTCCTATATCCAAAAAGTTCTGCAAATGCTTACACCAGGCTCAAATTTGGCCAGATGATGAGCTCACCAGCTTTCTTATATTAACCATCTTACAACACGAAGGTGAGAAATGGGAAGCTGTTCTATCCTTGATGTCACAACCAATGATCCTGGATAAGTTAACACTAATGAAGGTGAACCTTGAGGAATTGCTCTGTTTTGATTTTTATTTATTTATTTAGTTAAAACACGTGCAGTCCTCTTGGGCGCACCTTGAGGAATTGCTCTGTTTTGATTATTTATTTATTTATTTTGTTAAAACACGCGCAGTCCTCTTGGGCACTTTTTAGGAATATTCCAACCAATGATTAATTACCTGCTCATTTTCTCCAGCCAGAAAAATGCAAGAGAAGCAGCCAAGTAATAAAAACGTCTGACAAAATACTGCAACACATACGGTCATTTCTCAGCCAGACAAACTACCTTTCATTTTTTAAAAGTAAAATGTTTTAGACTTGCCTAGTATTTAAATGCAAATACCATCTTGGGGCTGGAGAAGTGCAAATGATTTTAAAGCTTGGGAAAAAAAAATTAAACCTATGCAGATATTTGCCTGTAAAGTTGTAGCCCTGCTTTGATTGTGAGGAGTTGTTTTTGAAGAGGGAAGTAGAATTTATCTGAGAATTTGATGAAAACACAAAGCTTCAAGGGCAGTTTTCTAGCCATTGATTTTGTGTCTGTAAGGGGGGGGGGGGGGGGGGGGGGGGTTATGGGTCAACCAGTCACTGGGGGGATAAGATCATTTAGTGGAAACCTAGAGAGATATTTCCATGTACTAAAATAGTCCTATGACTCAAGCAACTTCCCAGGAAACAGCATATCGAGACCTCGCAGGAGTGTTCAAACAGCAGCTTTAATTGTAATATTTTTCCCAATGATTTTTTTTAAACATTAGCTGTTAGTACAATAAGTGATTCCTGCACACACCCAAGTAATGCAGTGTCCACTCCCATGTTCCAGTGGTGGGTGAAAGGCATTTGAATGGACACCTGGACTCAACATGTGAAAGGAGGCTGATTTTTAAGTTAAAGGAGGGGAGAGGGAGGGAAAACACAGTGATTATGCAGTGATTACGCTGACATGGCAGCTGCTTGGGCTCAAATGATTTTCAAGGCAGGGGAAAGAACAGACAAGGCTGGTGTGGAATGGCAGGTTTCGGTTTCTGTGGAAGTGTTCAGCTGGGCATGCAGGACCTGAGGTAGTGAGAAAAACTGGACACACAAACTAGCTGGTCATTTCCCATCTTGTAAGACTCCCAGGGGGCTAAAGCATCTGCTCTGTAGCTGAAACTTTGCTACAAGAGTGATACGGCCACACAGCCTCCCCACAGTCTTCATTTGCAGTGTGTTAGACCCTCACTCTCCAACTACATCTCTAGGGAAAGCCCTTATTTCAGCAAGCTCTGGCCAGACCTCTTCAGATCCACTGGCCGGGTCAGGGCCTTGTACAGCAGAAGGCTTTTCAACAGCTAAAGCCAATAGCTTAGTGAAAAACGGAAGTCTGTGTTTTGACCAGCCATTTGCAAGCCCTCTGCTGGTGCACATGGTGTCATTTGGCAGCGTAAACCCATTAGCAGGCCCGTTCTCTTTGGCATGCTGAATGCTGTCGGAAGGCACCAGACTTCGGCGACGTAAGGTATTCCAGCATTTCCACCTAGCGCTCAGGTTGGAACACAAGGAAAAAAACAACCCTATTTAAGGTGGTTTGTTCCTTTCAGAATGAGGACCCCACAGGTGAGCATGACTGCTTGCCAGGTTTTGAGTCTGTGCTATGATGAGTTGCATAGGAAACACCTTAAAGCCCCTGAGGAGAAAATGCAGAATGTGAAAGGTGCTACTTTTCATTAGTGAGACTTGTTTCTAAGGGGAATTCTTTCAAGGTGAAATTAGAGGCACAAGGTCCATTAAACTGTCTCTCCATTCTTTGGAGAAGTGGGGTTTCCTTCTACTATATGCATCTAACTTGTCACTCTACTCTTGCTAGACTCTGGCAGGGCCTTTCCTGATACACGAGTCACTTGGGGTCACAAATACTTTAAATGTCCACCTCTTGGGGCCCAGGCGGACTTCTTTGAGCAGTTTTATTTCAGATGCAGGACGAGCCCTGTGACTCAAGCCAGCTCAACCGTTCAGAGCAATCCCACTGGATTGATGACTAACGCCAGTTGTAGGCCTCCGTGCCTGCTGGGAACTAGATAATGGAGTTAAAAAAATAATCGTGCCACTTTCTCCTGGCAACCTGTGATCACGGATCAGTCACTACAGCACCATAATGCTTCTAGCAAGGTCTCACCAACCTCTCTCAATATACAGATAAAGGAGTAAAAATATACTTCCCTTCTCGGTGATCAACCCAGCGGAAACGTCTTTCATAGGTAATGTTTTCATCAGTTTTCCATGCGTGTGGCAGCTTGACTTCCCACTTAAAAGTAATGTCTTCATTCTGTGCAAAGATACCTTTTCTGCCATGTAGAATATTTCAAAGAGAGGGAGAGGGGATCACTCAAAAGGGGTGCAGCTGCTAAAAAGGGTTGCAGACATCGCATGTGAAGGAAACCCAGACAGGACAAGATTTCAGCTTGGTGGTTCCTCGGACCAACAGGTATTTACGTGGCGGACTGGAACTCAGTGGCATCAACAACCCAACCCAAAGCTCAGGAAAGTCACAGGCAGTTTCACCACCAACTTTAATGGGCTTTGGCCCAGAGCTCTAAAATGTTCAGGGCTTGACTGAAAGGGCACCTAAGACAGTAATAACTCCCACGGACTCCAGTGAGCTTTGGGCATGATCCCGTGGAAAAGGACTTTTAACGCAGTTCTCTCTTGACCATTTCTGGAGCATGCAGGTCCCCAGCCGAGATTGCTCTCAACTGTAACAAGCAAATCTTGGCAGTCAAGAGAGGGGAAGGTTACCTTCCAGGAACCTGGCACCTATCTGGTTAATGTCCCTCAGAAGCAAGAGAAGGAAGAAGAGGCGGAGGGAACACCATGGAAGCAGAAATCTTTTCAGCTTCTTCCAGAATGCTAAATGTAACAGCAGGCAGGAGGGATGCCTCCCTTTGCTCGAATACTAAAGGCAGCACTGACACGTCAGGTTCAAAACTGAAGTGGTACATTGTGTATTGCCAGATCTAGACATTAGAAAAGGTGTATATATAAAAATCCAGATCACAGAAAGCTATTGGAACAAAAACAGTACAACCGCTTCTCTTTGTAACACTTTCTCAGGGCACTAGGAGGTTCAGAGTTTCTGCAATGTTGAATATAAAACAGTGATCTTAGAGTCTCGCTATAGACAGTCAAAAGCCTCAAGGGGTAGGGGAGGTTGAGAGAAGGGAAAGGAGAGATTCACACTGTGCTTTGTTTTAAATACATATTTACATGACTCATGGTAAATTTTAGAAGTGATCATTTTAAAAAAAAGTTTCTCCGCAATTTAAAAATTCAACAACTCTCCCAAAGTGGTTTCAACCTTCGCTTCTCATTAAAAAAGTAAATATTTATTTGCAAATGCCTAAAAATGTGCGAGGTCTCCCTCCCCAATGGTTAAAATTCACAAATAGAAAGCTGTAGAACTCGTATCAGCCCCCAGCAGAGAAAGCCAGCTTTGATTCTTTCAACACAAGGGAGAATGTTCGAAAGAGGATCCACTTCAGTGTGCGATTCCAGTCCCAGTGCGAACCTTCAAACTTTGGTCTTCCAAAACTGTCAGCTCCCTCCCACTTCTTGTCCTCTGCTAAAAATCAGGAAGAGTTAAAACCTGCCAGGAATTCCTGCCATCAGATGGCAAAATCTTCATGCTCTGGAGGGCTGAAGGCAGCTGCCCGGAGAATGTCCAAGGAATTGACTAGGATCAGGGTCCCGGTTAGATGCTTCCAGCGCTTGGTGATGGGGCTCTTCATCTTATCCAGCCCTGTGTGCAGCTCCTGGATGACATCCCGGTAGCTGTCTCCAATCTGGCTGCTCCAGGTTAGCAGGAAGTCATACGCCGGTTTCCACATGGCCTGCATTCCGTGCCAGAGAGAAAGAGAAAGCAAAGCCAAGCAGAACTGTTACTGGGTCGTGATAGTTGCCCATTCAGGCCCTACCTCTGTAAAGCGCTTATCTCCATCCCTATTCCTAGAGCCCTACCAAATTCACCCTCCATTTCGGATTTTAAAAATTGTCCATGTCATGATTTCAGCTAGTCACATATGAAATTTCACAGTGTTATAATTTTAGGGGTCCTGATGCAAAAAGGAATGGGGAAGACATATTGCTACCCTTACTTCTTGGCTGCCACTGGGGGTGGCACTGCCTTCACAGCTGGGTTCCCAGTCAGCAGATGCCACTCTCTGGCTCCCCCAGGTATGAAGTGCAGAAGTAAGGATAGCAATATTGCAACCCCCCTTAAAATAACCCTGCTGCTCCAGGACCCCCAATTTGAGAGATGCTGCTCTTCCCCATGAAATCAGTATAAGGAGAGGGGAAAAACCACTCAAACTAGCAGCTCTCACGAGGACAGGCCAGATTTCAGAGTCAGAGATGCATTTTTATGGCTGTGAATTTGGCAGGGCCCTATCTAATCAGCAAGGGACTTGCAAGAGGTAAATGCCATCAACTTCATTGAGGCTCAGCAGGCCTTTTGCTGAATCAGGACCCAAGTCCAGATTCAGGCTGTTTGCTCACCACCTCCAGATACTCGAGTAGCAAGGCTTCCCAGCCGCACACTCAGCCAGGTTGTGCAGAGCTGAGCCGGGGGAAAGAGGAGGACAACTGTCGGAGCCCTGCAGTGCTCAGCGCCCACCCCAGAACACAGGTCTTGATTTACCCCGACAGAATGTGAACAGTGATCCCCACAAAGGCCACTGGTTTGGGGAAAATTCAACTCCAGTAAGGATCAGAGGACTGGAGAAACAGTTACTCAAACCGGAAGGGCCCCAGGATTTCCATCGGTCATGGACATGCTATTTATTTTTAGAACAGCAGCAGAGAGATGATTGAAACTGACTGTCCTCTGGCCCACCCCAAGAAATATAGCTACCAAGCCTACCCTGGCAGGCTCACTGCTCCACTCCTAGAGAGGAGACAGAGAGGGAGTCGCTCAACCACACACCCAAGGTTTCCGCTTGTGATGACACACTGTGCATGTGTGTCTGTCACACACAAAGTGTCAATCATCACAAGCGGTCAGCAGAAACATACTGTGCTCTGCCCCCCTTTCGGAAAGGGGCCATTAGACAGCTGTGAAGACAAGGAAATCCTCACTCCCCCTGCAGCACAGTTGCTCAGACTCGAGGCTCAATGGAGGTTCTCCTGTAGAGGCTGCTTTCAGGCAGCTCCATCTCGTAATTGAAGGGAATGTGACTAAGGCTCCCATCACCAAAGGGGCATCATTTGCGGACACCTCAGCCAAGACGTCCACACAGGCGGATCAACCAGCCCTCAGCACTGGCTTCCAGGCCATGGGACACAGCCAGGCACACAGCAGGACTTTAAGGTCATGTCCAATCTAGTCTCACCTCACTGTCCACCACTCCAGTCTTGTCTCGGTGGGGGGCTTCATAGGCGTCCATCTGCTGCTTGGAGACCTTGGCTAGTTTCTCTGCCAGCTCCCTCCAGCGCTGCGCCACTTCCACCGCTGTGGTCAGGAGCACAAAGTCCTGAATGAGCCTCACCACCAGCCCCTGGCAGTCCATTTTCAGCAGGGCCTGACAGATGACAGAGCAAACCAGGCCAAGGTCAGAGCACACTCACAGGTTCCCCCCCCCACAGCCATCAACAGCGTACTCCTGAGCTGTTGCCAGGCCAGACCGCTGAGACCAGTGACAACTCATTACAGCGATGGCCAGGCTTCATTCTTTGCTCTCAATCGTGGCAGTGATAAAGCCTATGAAAGAAGGAAGCCAAGACCTTCCCTACCAAAACCCAACTCAGCTGCCCCATCTCTGAGCCCGTCATTCAAACCCCCTCAGCAATGTAAACTGACATGTCCCTTTCTAGCCACACAGCCCTGTCTGGGTATGCAGGAAAATCTCTTCAGTGCAGCATTAGCTCCCCTCCCCCATATGACAGGTGGTGAAACAGGGTCGCTGGACCAGCAGGAAGAATTATATCCTTAAGCGGATAAAGCACCCTGCCTCCACTTCAGAGGCAGGCCTGGGAGTCCCAGCCAGACCTGCCAGGCACATACATGAAATATTTTGCTCCATGCTGCAGTGTAAGCCTATAGGAACTGAGAAAAACAGCAGCCCACGATAAACACAATTAACTCAAGATGGTCAATATACCTTGGGAGGGATAACAACCAGAGAAGAACAGAACAGGGCTTTTGCTACAGAGAAAAGGGGACACACAGAATCAATGCACCCAGGCACTTGTTAATAACTAGAACATCTGCCAGCCAAGAGCCGCATGCCAGCATGGGGAAAAGCAAGCACAGATCTGATGCCAGTGCCAGCCAGCTGTATGGGCAGGTCAGAGACATAGGTGGTGTGATGGAAGCAGTCATGCTGCTTTCCTTCTGCACACCCCACCTTTCAGTTCTTCAGACAGCCTCTAATCCCTGGAAAGAGGAGAGTTCACGGATTTAAGACCTGCCATTCCTGAAACCCTTCTCTGGGGGCACTGCAGTTAGGGCCCCCTGGAGTGGGAAGTTTTCTGCCTCAGCTACCTCGCCATACTTTAACCAGTATGGAACCAAATACTGAAGGAATCCAGAATTCCAGTGAAAGACTCAGCAGCATGTACCCATAACCTGATACTGCACAGGACTGAGCAAAAAGGGATGCAACCTGCAGAAACAGACCTACAAGTGTCAAGCAAGAGTTTCCAGCTGGCCTAAGAAATTAAGGGCTTACACAGTAATGATCAGAACACAGAATCACAGGTTTGAACAGGACCTCGAGGGCACATCTAGTCCAGTCCCCTGCATTCATGGCAGGACTAAGTATTATCAGCCTCACCCATATCAAGCATCTGTTTAACCTACTCTTAAAAATCTCCAGTGATAGAGATTCCACAAACTCCCTGGGCAACGTATTGCAGTGCTTCACCACCCTGACAGGCAGGAACTTTTTCCTAATGTCTAAACTAAAACTCCCTTGATGCAATTTCAGCCCATTGCTTCTTGTGCTCTCCTCAGAGGCTGAGAACAATTTATCACTCTCCTCATAAACTTATGTACTTGAAAAATCTTATGTCCGCTCTAAGTCCCCTCTTCTCCAAACTAAACAAACCAAATATTTTCAGTCTTCCCACAATACTCCAGTTGAGGCCCAATCAGCAGAGTAGAGGGGAAGAATTACTTCACATGTTGCTTACAACACCCCTGTGAATACATCCCAGAATGATGTTTTGTAAGTGTCACACTGCTGACTCATTTGGCTTGTGGACCCCCAGATCCCTTTCCACAGTACTTCCTAGGCACTCGTTTCAACTGATTGTTCCTTGCTAAATGGAGTACTTTGCATTGGTTCTTATGGAACAAAGAAATACCAGCCCAAACCAAGTCTGTGCTCCATCTAGTCCAGCATGCTGGCCAATATGAGATGTTTCAGAGATTTTTGCAATAACCCATTCATGGACAATTACCTACCTATGGGGAATATTTCATCAGAGACTCAGGAAGTTAGTGACAGGTGTGTGTTCTGAAGTAGGAGCGAGTTTTACCCCTTATTTACACAATTAAAAAAACAACTTCAGATGAGAACATCCACCAGCATGTAATTACTCCTCTCCTCTGACCTCAGGAACCTCTTGTGGCAATGAGTCCCCAAGGTTGCATAAATATTAATTTCCTTTGCTCGGTTTTAACGTTTGCTGCCTTTCAGATTCATTGGGTGCTCTGCGTCCTTGGGATAAAAGGCAGATGTTTCCAGACAGGCAGGGTGAAGGTTGTGGTTTCAGAGCTCCCCACAGACACATGGCAAAGAATTTTCACAGGGCTCTCAACTCAACATTACTGTGAATACCGAAATGCGACAGACAGGCTGAGAGGTGAAGTGGTAGCAACCCGCAGCAGCATTTTAACTTTAATAGTCAGGTATGTGCATGTGTTACAATTCATAAAATACTTCCCAAAAGATTTGTTTCCTTTACATAGTCAACCCCTGTAACTCCATCCAGCACCCTACAAAGAGAGAAGAGCAATGTCTAGTTCCTAATCTTAAACTCCCACCTCTCTCAGGGCGAAGTTTCCAGAGACCCACACATACATTTATCACTTAAAAGGCTCCTGCGCCTGCCCTTTGACTCTAGAAAGCAGCTTGGGAATGCCAGCATTGTCATGCCATGTAGCCGGCAGAGGCAGGAGCAATCCAGCTGTGTCTATGGAATCACACCAGAGCTGATGCTGTGTTCCTGGATCAACAAGAGAAGCAATCAACGCTGCCGATAAGCAAACACAGTAAGAGATTAAGGGATGTAAAACTTTAGAAGGGTTATAAAAAGGCTCAGATAGGAGAGGAATGAACCACAGGAAAACACTGATGTGTCCTGCCGCCAATGGCCTAGCCCAAGGTCTGGAGTGACAATGCTGTATTAAGGATATTGGTCAGTGCCATCGTTTCCTAAGAAGAAAATTCAAAGCCAGCGCAACAGGAACTGGAACCAGTGTTTTTGACAGTTTCCAAAAACGGGATGGGAGGCACGAGACAAACAAAATGGTTCAAGCACAAAGACAGTGCACTGAACAGGTGTGAACGTGAGAAGTTCACTCACTCCCTCCTCCCCCCAATCTCAGCCGTGACTGCTCTCTACACAGTCTCCTCTGTGCAGCGACCCTTGGACAGGCCAGCTGCACCCAGCAAACACAGACCACAGCATCAGAAGCAAGAGCAATCTATCCCCTCTTGCAGCCCAGCCCCTCCACAGGCACACTGTGCTTGTCACAGCACTAGGGGGTGACAGAGCCCAAGGTACCTGGTGTAGGAGGGCATGCTTTATGAAATTGGCTTATGAATATGCATAACTTGAAAATGCTTTCCTCAAAGCTGGTCATGTAATCTGTGTATCCCATTTTTGTGCATGTATCATTCTTGTGTGTGAAGTTAGACATATGGATCTGGTTTTAATTCTCAATGTGCTAATGAGGGCCATTTATGATGTATTAGGAACTTAATGGCTCAGTACTCAAACCAACAACCCATGAATGGTTTTAGTCTTCCTGTGAGCCCAAACTGGGGTTGGTCCCCGGAGGACATGTGCCCATGCCTCCTGGTAGTGGAATCCATCTTCAGTCTAGTACTTTCCCACGGGGATGGAGTGATTGAACAAAGGGTTCCTGCCTTGGAATGTCTAAGGAATGGAAAGCAGTCAGGTCTTTGTTTTCAGCTGGCCTTTGAAACTGCCTCGCCCACCCTAGGAGGATACACATGAAGAAACCTGAAAGGACTCTAAAGAATCTTGAAAAAAGCTGCAGACAGGCCAGAGTGAAGATCAACAACTCTGACTTGAGGCATTTTATCTGAGATAGGAGCAACTGTTTAGGGTAAGAATGTGCATGTAACATGTTTCTTAGTGGAGCAGAACGCTTGCTTATTTTAACTTAGTAACATACTTTGATCTGACTGTTCTCACTTGCAATCACTTACATCCTACTTTTTTATACTTAAAAACACCTTTGTTTATTATCAAGCCCAGTGTAAATTTTTTTTAGAGGGGCGGGGGTAGAACCACTCTGCATCTCTTTCATTGTTAAAGTTGGTGAACATCTTTATGATCTTGCTGTGTAGAACTTGCATACAGAGGAAGGAGGATTTGGGGTTTTGGTTTCCTGGGTGCTGAGCCTTCCCAGAGCTGAGCTGGTTCAGTGTCTGCTGCTCTGCAGGGGGGTGGTGACCCCAGCTCTGTGCTGTGACTGGGAGAGACCCTGACCCAGCAGGGCAGGGTGACGGGAAGCCCCAGAGGGCAGGAAGGCCGGTGTCAGTGGCATGAGCAGCATGCTGGGGAGAAAACCCAAAGGGGATTTCTGTGTTTCACCCCAACACAGGCAGGTTCTCTTCACCTTTTCAGGGCCCAAAGGCTGAAAAGATGCTGAGGGCTCTGACTCCCTGATCCTCTCTGCTGCGACTCAGCTGGGAAGAAAGGAGGCCTGGCGTTGAGTAGCACAACTGAGTCCCTAATTGTGCTTGAACACAAGTTTCTGCTGTGCTCCCTCGCCGACTGGGGTTAATTTGATAGGTACAAACACAGGAACTACACAGGCCTTTGCCAACCCTGCAGCAAGCCACTCTGCTTCTGCTCCCAGCAAGCCAGGCTGGTCCCCACCCCGCCCATTCTGCAGAACACTGAAGGGAATGAAGCAATAAGCAAAAGAAGTTGCTAGTTTAAAAAGATGAACAGAACAAAAACCTCTGATGCCCAGAGTGGGACCGGTACTAAAACCAGGCCACGTCCCATGGGGGCTGTGCCTGAGCACTGCTTCAGGCCATACGGCTGGGAATCCAGAGCCAACGAAGGCAACTCCAACCCTTGGGGTGAATCCCAAGTGCAAATGGCAACGGGCTCTCTACATAAGCACCCATTCTCCATGGCCATCACACGGGAGCTGGGGGACTGCAGGGGACGCACGATGCTCCCAGCAGAGAAGGGACGAGTTTTACACCCATTATACTTGGGCACGCTGCAAGGGAGCAGGAATCACACCTCCAGCTCAGAGCTAGCCCTTGTGCTACAGCCAGCCTCCTTCGCCTTCAGTCCCTAGCACGACGCAAGCCTGTCAACTCCTGAGGAACAGCGAGGGCCTGCGAAGCAGGTGGTCTGCAGACAAGATGGGCATGAACGAGCAAAGGAAAAGGATGACGGAGCATCACAGAGGCCACCACACTGGCCAGCCATGTGTGAGAGACTAGAGCGACAGGTGAGAAATAGGAGATGAACAGGAAGATTTGCTGGCACCAGACACGTTCACAGCAGCTGAATGGTTCATCCTCATGCACCTACATCTGAGAGTCCATTAGCAACAACGCACATGCCTCAGGCAGCGCCAGCTGGCCCAGCCACAGTACTCTGGATCATCTCTGGCCTTTGCACAACTCATCCAAACAATTCAATCCCACAGACACTGGCTGCCGCCCCCGCCGGGATTAGTAGGGTCACAATGGCCCTTAATCCTGCATTCGGCTTCTGTAGTGATGCTCACTACCTCCCCTCCACCCAATGCAAGGCAGCAAAATCACGTTGAGTCGCCTCATAACTAACACTCCCATTCAGCAGTCCCATTTCCACTCACATCGGGGCATGTTGCTCTGAAGCCTGGCCATGGAGGTACTATTCTTACCACTGCTTGAAAGCACTATCTTGAAAATGGCCTTCCAAGTATTCATTAACCTCGGAGACACTTCCAGCCAGCCAAGAGACTAGCTAGCTTGGGCACCGCCCAGCGCCCGCTTTGATATTCAAATGCTGCTATTTCAAAGCCTTGCCAAGGCAAACCCATTGAAAATCCAGCTAGAGACCTGGGATTTGCATCCCACCTCAGAAAGGCAGAGAATCCCATTTCCAATCCTCGCTGGGAGGAAAATAGCATCTGAGCAAAAGGGGAGGAGAACTCGGGCCAAAGCTTTGGCTGCTATGGAGTGACAATAGCAAACACCAAGCTGTCTGCAGAATCAGACATCTCACCCCTCCTTACCCCCTCGCCCCCCCATTAACTTACTGATTCTCCTTCACACGCAAGTCTCACTTCAGTTTATAGAAAATCCATCAGTATCCCCAAAGGGAACAATGCTGATTGCAGATGGTGGAAAGCCACGGGCCCAATTCTTTGCCTCGGCTCATGTGGTCAGCGAAGCGGCTGGTATCCCGACTAGCAAGTGAGAAGTTGCACATGGTGTGAAGTTTGCCACACAGCTGACCCACACGTGCTTGCTGAGGCCCAGTGTCCTGCTCATGGCTCTGACTAGGGATGTGAATGGTTAATGGGTGATGCTTACCAGCTACAGGTTAACTCGTGGCCCAGGCAGGGGGAGAAGGCGCGCCAGTCCAGCCGGCTTGCCATACCACACATCGGGGGTCAATCTATTCTGATCTTCTGCATAGTACAGGTCAGAGAACTCCCCACAATAATTCATCAGGAGTCAGGGGATTCTGGTGCCCCCCGGGTAGAAGGAAAGGGGAAAATACAGCTGCTGAACATCTGCGAGGGCCCACACTGAGGAACAACAACATCTGGCCCAAACGAAAGACCCCACGTACAAGTGCTTCCCTGTAAGACCACAGGAAGAGGGCAGCCCATGGATTTTTCCCTCTTCCACTTTTAGATGCTCATTTGCCTGAAAATGGGGATTCTGGTGCCCCCCGGGTAGAAGGAAAGGGGAAAATACAGCTGCTGAACATCTGCGAGGGCCCACACTGAGGAACAACAACATCTGGCCCAAACGAAAGACCCCACGTACAAGTGCTTCCCTGTAAGACCACAGGAAGAGGGCAGCCCATGGATTTTTCCCTCTTCCACTTTTAGATGCTCATTTGCCTGAAAATGCCACCCCCAATTTCAAGGAGGGGGAACCCCCCAAAAAACACCCTTGCTTTTGAAGCAGAAGAGACTCTGGGGAACAGTCATGACTGCCAGACAGCACTGAAATTATGGATGGGTTCAACAGGCCTGTATCCGGGAAACCCAGGGTCACCCTTCCCTCCAACATCTGTTCCCTTTGAATTAGTGGGTCGGTCTCTCTCTCAGTACTGCCCCACGACATCACCACATTTCTCTTTTCAGCTATAAGAATAGCTCATGGCCCTTTAACAGCCTGCCCCATTTTGCGCTCCCCAGAAAGGGTTCTGTCTGAATTCCTTTCTACCTGTCCCTGCCTTAAAGTAGAATTCAGGCTTTTTTCTTTTAGGAGACACCAGGATTTTTTAAAAATGCTTCCATACCCTCTGCTTTTGAGCAGAGCCCTTCTCAGCAAGAACCCTTTGGAAAGGCTGCTTCCTCTCTGAGTAAGGGCCTGTCTATTGACCATTTTCATGATCTCTGGAGACACATCAGCATTTGGGTTGCCATTTTCCATTCCTAGCACTGCGCTTCTGCACAAACATGACCGGATCTTCATGTCCGGATCTTCATGTCCTGGTCACAGGCCCATTTCTACAGGCTCTAGCAAGACTGCTGCCTGCATTTAAAGACACAAATGGAGGAACGCCACAAGCAGACATTAAAAGGATCCTTTCTCCAGTGGCTGGCAATTTAAACTGTTGTCCAAACAGACAGTAATGAAAATGACAGAGCAGTCAGTCAGTGGAGATGTTAAAGAGCCTGTGAGACAAGCACCTGTGAGGGATGCCAGTGGTTCCCAAAGTTTTCGGCATCACGCCCCCTTTTTGATTTTTTGAGAAACCCTCACGCCCCCTCATCCCCCATAATAGCAGCAAAACTTGAGGGGGAAAAAAAAAATCGCCTTGCGCCTTCCTCCTCTCCCCCCCCCCCCCCCGAACTTCATGCCCCCTTCCCCCAGTTTGGGAACCCATGGTCTAGACAATACTTAGCCCTTCCTTGGGTTCAGGGGACTGGACTAGACGCCTACTCAAGGTCCCTTCCTGTCCTACGGTTCTAGGATTTAAATATAAAGTAGCACCTGATCTAGATGCAACAAATAACGGACAAGGATTCCAGTGGTACCTTGAAAGCTAACGAGATGTATTTGCGCATAAACTTTCGTGGGTAAAAACCACTTTGTCAGATGCATCTTTTAGTCTTTAAGGTGCCACAGGACTCCTTGCTTTTACAAAGATGTGAGATATTACACATGGTGCTGCCTCCTTTCTACACATTTTGGCCTGAAACAACCAAGAAAAGATTTTGCTATTCAGTAATGAAGTTGCCATTTTAAAAACGTGATTTGATGTTGCCCAGTTATTTGCTTTTCTGAAAGGCACCATTTAAAGGACAAAAAATGCCACAGCGCTTGTCTAATAAACAAGTACTGAATGTCTGTGGCTTGTATCCCCAGAATCACACCGAGATCCACTCTGCAACAGCAAATTGTCAGTGGCATTTTTTTCCTAAGCAAGAAGCACAGGATTCAAGGTTCCCCAGAATACAAACAGAAATTTATTCAAACACTACTGATTGAGTCATTTCCAGATGTTCTGTAGGAGCAACCCATTCTTCAGGATGAGCTGCCTAAATTCAAGCTGCTCCAAACACGATTCAGCGGTTGCATTTGATGATGCTCAGGGAAAGGGAAGCCAAAAACAACATTAAGGATTTTCCTGCTGGTTATTTTTTTAAAGTCTGTTTTTTGTCCCATAAGCAAAGATGCAGAATTCTCTTTTCCCAGTAGCAATCTTTACAGCAAAATCTTTGCTATACCCTCCCTTGCAAGAGATGGTATACATTGGTTAACAGTCAGTTAAAACAAGACAAAAATCATTTTTACATTTCTTGCTATGTCAGTTTGTCGTCTTTTTACAAACTTTTGCATAACTCCCCCCCCCACACACACACGCACATCCACCCCAAAACGCTTGATACCTAACAAGTTTTTAAAACTGTTTGCTTTGAGTTGCTTACCCTCCATGGCTAGGAACTCATGTTCTTTCTTAAGTACATATTTATTCTTGCCCTGAGGGTATAATTAAACTCCCCATTTTAGCACTAATGGCCACTTTAAAGCCAGAAACTACTGAAGCTAGTGGAACTGCCAATTTCTTCAGCGGGCTTTGGATCAGATACCTTTAAAAAAAAAAAACACACATGCCCATGGACCTTCCTAAAACCCTGCAGAGGCTCTACACACTCCCACCACTCAATGAGAGAAGGCCCATGAAGGGTGTCTATGACTTTGTAACCAATGCTCCGCCCTCCAACTGGGAGGTGACGCTTCCTTTGCATTTTCGTTAATGATATAATGGTGGGAAAGAGCCTGTGGAGGATGTTTTCATTGCCACCATGGGGCAGTCCTCCCCTATGCTTTACTGATCACAGTAATTCCCTAGGCTACCCTCACACTTAAGTCCTTTTCACTGGAGCCCACAAGGAGGCAAAGTTTTCTATTGGATGATGCACTGGATAGAATGCCTGGTTGTATTCCCAGGTCAGCCCCTGACCTAGGTGTGACTTGGACACATCATTCCACCTCTCTGTGCTTCCAGGCCACATTAGCTCTTCAGGGCATATGTGCTAGGCACTGCATATGCACATTGGGCCCCTGATGCCACTGGGGGATTTCTAGGCATGCTGTAATATGAATATAGTGAAGGATGGCCAGTTTCCCATTCAAACATTGCTGGAAAAAAACCAACCAGACACTTATTTGTATGGACTGTTCTGTTCTTACCGCCATGAGCTCCTTCTGGAAAGATTTCCTCTCCTTGTTTTCCGTATTATTGCAGTCTTCCTTCAGCTTCTCCAGCACTGAGGCAACCCGTTCCGACTCACTGTCCAGCTCTGCTCGACAGAAGAAAGTGAGTGGCAAGTTCGCATATCCTAAAGCGTCTGCGAACGAGCGCCAGCTGCTGATGTTCTCCATAAGCAGAGTCCTAACCGAGGCATAGATGTAGGTCAGAAACTTGCACGGCCTCAGGATTTGCTCAAGCAATGTGCTGGTGGTGAGATCAGGTCCAGAAAAATAGCTAGGCCTGACCTTCCCAACCACTAGCACGTTTTTGGCATGAACAAGGCCAATTTTCCCTTGGTAGTAGCCAATGTACCATTCCTTTGTCCACAACTGGCCTTTCAGTTTGATCTTCTCTTCACTGAGCAGCGCAATGACGTCTCCTTTCTTGTACTCCAGCAAGTAATGGTTCTTGCTTTGGCGCACCACGGTTTTAAGCAGTTTGCCATACTTCAGGCTTGCCACCGGCCGCTCCTGAAAGACAGGATATTTGCTAGTGGCAGCCAGGGAGGACAGAATGATCTTCCCAACCTCATTCTTCTTGAGGAACCTTCTTTGCCCAGTGGACTTGATGGCACTTTTTGGAGGTGGCTGTGGCGTTTGCACGCAGAACTGGGTCAGTATGGCATCCTCGTCATCCTTGACCTGTATCCTTAATGTGAAATCTGAGAGCTCGTTGAAGTCATGGGACACGATGGGGAAGATGAGGCGGCTGACCTTCCCCAGCTTCATCTGGAAGCCTCGGACGATTTTGGCTTGCTCGCTGGCTTTCACCTCATAATTAGACATATTGGAAAACATGCAGAGTTTCAGGTCCTGCGGTCGGGACAGAGAGAACTGGTGCTTGCCCCACAGCTGCAAGGCCACAGGCGCCACACCGTGGATTTGCCGCGTCACCTCGGTCACTAGGAGAGTCTTTGGCGCACACTCATGTCCGAAAATAGCCACAATGGTTTTAAAAGAAGGATGGATGTGTTTGGGGCCATAGACCCCCACGGTGATCTTTTTACTGATATAGTCCCAGACAGTGCACGGGTAGACGACATTCTGTCCTTGGGCTACAACAGCCACGTACATACAAGGTTCCAGGTTATCCAACTGCACCTGAATCGTGTCTCCATAGGAATAGCTGAGTTTCATTGGTGTATAGGGTCCTTCCTTGGTGTCGCTCCGCAGGCACTGTAATCCCACCAGGCTCTTGCTCACCAGGTCATTCTTGACCTCTGCTGACACTTTCACCTCCAACATGATGGACGTTTTCACCTCCATGTTGCTCAGTTTAATCTCTAGCACGGGGCTTATGGTGCTGCATTTGTCACTGTTGAGCTCCAGGGGAGGGTCTAACAGGGCTTTCATGGCGATCTGCTGCGTTTCCCCGGGTGAGACATGTCCCTCTGGCACGTGGATGCTGATGTTGGTATCTGGGAGCTGAACTGCTCCACCAGAGCTATCCAGCTTGCAGACAATGTTGGTCTCCACAGGTTGCGTCTGACCCCAGCCCGGGCTCTGGCCAAGCAAGTCCAAGTCGTGGCACGACCGTGCCAGCTTCCTGTGGCTCAGCCAGGCAGTTCTAAAATCTTCTCTGCTCTGGAACTGCTCCGGGGTAGGGGACTTGAGCCCGGTAAAAAACCCCGACGAGGCTGGCATTTCTGATTTAGCTTGAAGAACTGACAGCTCTGACAAACTGTACGAGCGTTTGCTTCTGAAGAAGGGGTTGTCTCGCCGAACAGGTGGCTCGAACACCAATCCATTTGTGGATGAAAGTTCATCCAAGATGTTGCCTACACTGGTGTGCGTTGTGGAACTGGCCCCCGTAAATAGAGGAGCTGCCGTCTCAAACAGCAGTAAGTCCACAGTGGTTTGGGGGGTGCACTCTTTGTCTAAGCTGGGTGCAGTTTGCAAGTTCCCATTCAGAAACGGGTTTGTTTGGACCCCATTGAAGAAAGGGTTGTTACTGTAGGCATTGGAAGAGTTTCTCTTGACATCAGTCCACTCTCCAAGGAGATCCAGTTCTCGGACTCCTTCATCAGGGCTTTCGAGCAGATTGTCTATCATGCCGCTGTCAGTGAAGGAAGAGTTGCGGTAGTTTACAGGCTGGACGTAGGAGGAAGGTATGTAACCCATTTCCGTCGTATTGTGAGCATACCACCACTCGCCTCCCGAGGTATCCAAGACATAGAGGTGGTCACCCTTGGAGAACTTTAAGGTGGTGAAGTTAGTTGGGCAGTAGTCTTTGATTGCTACAACTTCCTTGGCATTTCCAAAAGGTGTGGGATTGTCTACCAGCAAGGCACTAGGAGAAGGCACTGCAAAATGAAAAGAAACAAGTGTCACAAGCAACCTGCAAAAGTCGTAACTGTTTTTCTAAGATGAAGGTTTAGTGAATAACTATCCAATTACTTTGACCAGCATGTTTTATCATTTTTACCCTCGGATAATTTTTTTTTCTTCTAATATCTTTAAAAACCACTCACCTAGTAGTTTGGATGCTTTGATATTTAGTGAAAGTGCTTCTGCCCTGCAGGTCTTACAAAGACAAAACAGTCAAAGGACTGGAAGGAAACAGGAGATGTGATTGGGCCAACTTCATCAAGCAGCCCACTCATCCGGATGAGAACCAGGGACTCCAGACTCCACATCCAGGATCTTACCTCCTAGACCTCACCACCTCCCTTTTCAACCAGGGTCCCAACAAGCTCCTCCAAGGGAGAATTTGGCCACTCTGCGCTCTCAATTTAGTGTGTAAAAAGAAGAAAAGGGCTCTGGGGAATGGCACAAAGGACAGGACTGAATGGGGCTTTCAAAGTTTTAAAGGATTCAGACACTGGGGATGTCTTTGACAAGCAGAATTGGCCTGTCCAGTCGATTTCTTAATCTGCTATTTCTTAATCTGGCTAAAAACAAACAAGCCTTATAGTCTGCACTCTGCTGCAGAGGCTCAGCAAACTCCTCAAATGCTCTGGCTGATCATTCCTTGTAACTACAGATTGCTCCCAAGCCTCCATTAAATAGTATCCCGAAGGGAGAAAGTCAGGGTGGAGGAGAAAAATCTGACAGGGAGAAGCTTTTGAGCTGCATGTCTCTGATCATCAAGAGTGATGTAAACAAAACACCAGCCTTCTAAAATTCCTGTCCCCTCGAACTGCCAGTGCGGAAGGAGAGTTCTTGTTTAACAAAAGATTTTAGGATTTATTTTCAAGGATACATATCTACAGATGAAAAAAAAAAAATCAGTCCTTCAGCTAGGCCTCTGATCCAACAAAACCAATTAATGTGTCTCCAAACGTGTGCTTAAGTCCTCACTGCCTTCAGAGTGCTTTTCTTAAAGCACTAGTCACCTGCTACAGAGTTTCGTGCTCCAACTAAAATCAGCATATTGTGTGCTTTTCCCTCTACTTCCCCAGCTTTTGCTTTTCAAGGCTATTTAACGCAAATTAACTCCATGTCCAAAGAGCAGTGGATGCAGTGCGAGCTCCCAAAATAAACTCTGCACCTTGCCCACTGCTGTACCATCAACAATTAGCCAGAGATTCAAAACTCATTTGCCATTGGAGCACTCAGCTGCAAGCCAAACTGGGTGTTATTCTCCAGATAAACTGAAAGCAATCCAATACAACACACAGATGGCCCGTCAGACTTCAGCTGTGTCGCACCCACGGATAAACCGTGTTTGCTGCAAGAGATGCTTGAGTAAAATCTGGCTCTCTCAGCAGTGTTCAAATATTTGTCATCTTGCTAGATGATAAACCGAAGAGATCGTGCCGAAGAGGGAAAAAAAGTCTGTTTTCATAAGTACACAAACACAGCCCCAAAACAGGGGCTACTAATATCTATTTTTAAAAAAGATATAGATTGTTCAAATTGGATTATCCTATTATCAAGGCTGAGGTAGAATCAAGATTCCACCCCCAAAAGGGTCATAACCGTGACTGCCAAAGATGGGTGTGTGTATAAAGTCACTAGCCCAGTGTAAGTCTATGCTGCCTGAATAGAATGGCTCAAGGACAGGGAAGTCACTTCAGAGGCTATTTTGATAAGCCGTATGTTACATGACACTGTTAGAGCAGCAAAGAATTCAAAAAGTAAAGCCCCAATGGGTCTGTAAACTTCTTGGCAAATACAGTAATCGACATTATAGACTGATCGGACATTCCCTGAAGTAACACAGGAACAAGTTTGAACTGTACATGTTTGTCCAGCCCTTGCAGAAGATGACCATGGAAATCAGTCAGGGACCCTAGCCTGTTCTCATTTGCTTCCACCATACCAGTTAGGGTCTGTGCCACACAGCCCTTGAACCCAAACTGACTTGACACAGAGTACACCAGTCAGATCAGGCCATTTCTAAGCACTTACAAACCCTCCTCAGAACTTGTACCCCACAAGGTGGTGACATTTTAAACTAGAAAATTATGGAAACCAAACTGCAAGGGAAGTTCCCAGACTGGACTCACAAGAGCAAGATTCAATTCCCGGCTCTGCCAGAGACACCCTGTGTGACCTTGGACATGTCACTTCACCCCTTCACTTCCCACCTGAAAAGTCAATTACTACCATTCCTTTCTCCTTCTGCCCCCTTTATACGTCTTGTCCCATACTGTCTTATATGCGTATACACAGGCTTATGTCCAGAGCTACTGATTTCAGTCAGGGCCTCCACCTGCTGCCACACTACAACTATCAAATGCTGCAGAACCCCCCGCACCTTTGACATCGCTAAAGCTGGTTTCCGAAAACCCTTCGCTGAGGTCGATCAGCGTCCCCTCGGACTTGCACCGTGGGAGGCCACTGGAGTTGGCAGCACGAATCCTCTGGGCTGCCATCCCAAAAGCTTGCCCTGGCCTTGGAAAGGCTAGAGGGTCATGTTTCCTCCCAAGGTCTTGCTACAGGCATTAGACTGTCCAGCGTGGGAAATTCCAGCTTCCACGAGGGCTGCGCCCAGATGCAACTTTTACAGCTCGGCCAACCTGAAGGGAGAGTAAGAGAGAGAGGATTAGCGTGGGGGAGTCATGGCTCGCTTGCAGAAATGATCAGGTGACTGTAGAAAGAAGGAGTGTCTGGTTACAGCACTGAGCTGCAACTCACGAGATTTTGGTTTAAGTTCTCATGGATAGGGATGTCTCTCTCCATGTGTCTAGCACAACAGAGCTCGGCTCAAAGGTGCTACCCATAACATTTGCCAACAAAAATGGTTCCTGAATTCTCCTTGGGCATCGAGAACCAACTCCTATACCACTGCTAGTGCAAGCTACCCATCCCGAGGATCTAAAAGCTTTGTGACCAAGGACAACCTGAGTTTGGGCCTCTTCTCTTGCAGCTAGTTACGGAGTCTCCCCCCTTCCCCCCCCTTTGCTCCC